CGTGACGTGATGTGACGTGACGTGACGCACGAGAACTCAACAAATGCATCGGAGACGCATCCTCCTCTCGCTTTGGAGCGGCAGGAGGACTCTTCTTCGGCTTGGATTGGGGCCAACTTACGAATCTCTTTCGCTCGCAACTTTACGCGAAATTAGGGCTGCTCCAACTTCTGTCGAAGATTGCCACGTCGCCTGGACGACCTTTGTCCGCCAGAAGCGTCCGTGGCAGCGGGCGCCGTCGCGAGGAGTCGTGTCGGCCTTCATGCCGGACACGGCAGCGCCATAGGGCCTCAAATCAGCCAATCAAACCAGAGGCCAAAGCACCAGCATCACTTGAATGCAACCAATTAGAAGGCGGCACCTTGCCTTGAGTATCGATCCACGCGCCCTGTGTTGAGGCGAGGCCTGCCCAGGCGGCAGACCGACATGGAGGCTCGGAGGGCCTTTAGGGCGACGGCCAATCAGATGCGGGCAGCTCGGAGTGCCTGGTGCAGGCGGCCAATCAGGTGCAGACATAGTGGGCGGCCAATCAGGTGCGGGCATCTCGGGCGGCCAATCAGGTGCGGGCATCTCGGGCGGCCAGAGCAGAAGCGGCCCACTTGACTGCGGTAGAGAGAGCAGCAGACCAGGAAGAGACAGGGGTTGACGACGCCGGTTAAATGGACGCCGAGGAGGGAGAAGAAGCAGACGGCGGTGGGCAAGAGACTCTCGGGGCCGGTCGCGTCGACGTCGGTGTGCAGGACACGCAGGAGGAAGATGACCTGAACCGGAATGGCCACCAAACGAGGGAAAAGTCAGACGGTGCTTGGTGTCGTCGGGCCCTACAGAACATCAGCCCAACCTGTACGCCTCGGGGGGGGGGATAGGCGTTTCCAGGGCAGCGCCCAGTAACGAAGCCGATTACGAGGTCCCCGGCGCATGCTCCATTTCGGGTGTATGTGAGTGGGCGTGTGTGCGTGTGCGTGTGCGAGAGGGAGAGACTTAAAGATGACGACGCATTCCTATTGGCCAACTGCAATTTGGACCTAACGGAAGATTGTGGATGAAGATGTACTGTGACGAACACGCGCTGATGCGTCAAAGCCATCTCGAAACAAGCTGGCTTTCGATGCATCTCGCGAGATGACGCTGTTGTGTAGTCCTTTATTCCGCGTAAAAGTGTGACTCACGCAGAGATCGATAGACCCGTCCCACCGGAAGACTACGGCCGCCGATTGGTTTTCCTACGACGCTCAGGTCGACGCAGTCCACGCGACATCCTTCATCGTCTCGAGGGGAAATGTGCCGAGTTTTTGCCCTCATCTCACGAGCATGATTTGTAATTTGGTACTTGCCTCGATGTTTTGCCGCTATTGACGACACGGACTTACACACATACAAATGTCGGCATACACACACACACACTTATTTATGTATATATATGTACATGTAAGCCTTAATTGATTTGGGTACTTTTAAGAGAATGTATTTCAGCTCCAGCGATGTCCGCCAGGCGGCAGATACCCGAAATTGACGACCTTTTTCACGCGAAACTCGGAACGAATGTCTCGGGGACTGCCTCAACCTGAAAGTTGTACTGAAGCGGAATCAATCGTCTTCTTCCAGTGACACCGATCCACGAAACATTTTTATACGACACTTTCTTACCAACTGAAAGTCTCCACAAGAATACTTTGCAAGATGTCAATCTACTCTTGTCTAATTAGTAGTCTCAATGATAGAGAATGTATTGATTCGGCCACAAGAGGGAAGCGAGTAAACTAGTCTTTTCTATTCTGATCTTGGTTCCAACCACATTCCCCCATCTCTACTTGTCTGCCCAATCCTTCTCTCATGCACGATGACAAAAGGCTCATCAAAATTGACAGACGTGTGTCCGACCTTGTGCAATCGAGGCAATGATTAAAAGTTATAGATAAAGCAGATGATGGTGCTTATCAAAACGTAGATACTTTTTCTTTTCGGAGTACTTGCAGACATCACTGCTGATGTCGTACAAATGCAAACACATGCAGACGCATACACACATACAGACAGACACAAACTATATACGAAGAAAAGTTGAGTTTCGAGGAATCTGTTGTTTCATAATTGTCGAGCTTACTTCCATTTCGAGTGGAAGTGTTGGGTGAAGAGATTCGAAGCTCGGTTCCACCAGAAGACGACGGCCGATTCCTCTTGACCAGCTGTCGATCGGCTTTACTGGAATATTCTTGTTGATGTTGTTTCCGAAGTAATCTCCGTCGAGTCCGGTCGTCTTTTGGTGGGATGGACCTTCGAATCTCTTCATCAATCACTTTCTCCTGAAATGTATGTGAGTATAACAGACATGTAATGATTTGGTTGCCTTTCCTTGGT